TCTATTCCTCTCTCCCAACTCATATGACTCTTTTACTAATAGTGAAGAAACCCTTCATTTAAAGTAACCGTAGCAATGCTTATAGTGATTCTCAGTGAAACCCATATCCAGAATTGCTGTAACACTATATATATTATATATTTTGAATATAAAAATTTATTAATAAATTATAATTATGATTCAGTATAAAAAAGATTTATATTTTAAATAATTGTTAATAAACTATTTTTTTAAAATAAATTTTAATTCTGTTTCCTTTAATTAATTATTAAATATAATCAATATAGAAAGTAATAGTGAACATGTTTTTTGTTTATAACTTAATAAAAATTGCTAAAAATTTATAAAAATTTGATATTATATTCTTTAGAATAATGGAAATAAAAATTTTTAAGATTACAAAGTGTGTTAATATAGTAATATTTTGTGAAATTATATGCTAAATATGATAGACTAGAAGATTATTTTGATTAAAGTGATATAAAATTATTTAAAAATATTTTTTATAAGCAAGTATAAAAATAATTTTAAAAAAATATATTTAAAGATATAAAAAATATATTTGCAATTAAAAAAATTAAATAATATTTATTGAATATATACTAGTTAAAAAAAGGCTTAATTTTGATAAATTTTATTATATTTTACTATATTTTATTATAAAATTTATCAAAATTAAGTCTTTTTGACTGGTATTTATTTAATAAATATTAACTACATTTTTTTAAATTATAAATATATTTTTTATCTTTAAATATATTTTTATAAATTATTTTCATACTTACTTATAAAAATATTTTTATAACTTTATAACCAGGATAACTTCTAGATTTATTATCTTTAACATGTTTTGTAAGCTTAAAAAATTTTGTTTTGTCATTCTAAAGAATATAATACCAAATATTTATAATATTTAAGTAATTTTTTATTAAAATATTAATGAATTTTGATGACTATTATTACTTTATATATTAATAATATTATAATTTATTTTAATATATTGTTACATATTTTTTACTAATTGAATAATTAGTTAATAAATGCAAATAAAAGTTGAAAGAAAAAATTAAACAAATATAAGAATAATATGAAAATAATATCTAAATCCTATATTAATTTCTATTGAAATTGTTATAATTTGGAAGGAAAAAAGAATAGGATAATAGTATTTCAATTAGATATAATGTTGCGAATAATTATATTAACTAATTAATTTACAAATTATTTAATTAAAGTGACTAACAATTTAACTAATTAATTAAAATATTAAAGTAACAAAGACTCTTTCACTTCATTTTTCTCACAAGAAAGAGATTATAATGTCTTTAGTTGAAAAATTCCAAATATTATCACAAAAATATCAAAAGACTAATCTATAACAAATATTAATTCAATAATTCAATAATTCAATATCAATATTTTGATCAGCTCAATACAGTCTCAAAGCTGCTTGTTCACAAGATTTGAAGTGTACTTTTAAGAGAGGAAAAGCAAATTGTTTTAAGTGTTAAAAGATATTTGTTTTATTATGTTATTTATTCTCAAGTTCCAATATGTTGAGTTAAAGCTCAACTATAACTCATATTTATATATTTTCTTTGAAATATAAATATAATATTAAAACAAGAAAAAGATAATTATACTAACTAAAAATAGAATTTCAATTTACTAAATATGAAAAGTAGAGAAATAAAGGAAAATACATTAATACGAAAGAATATTTATAAATTATTGAATGTACAAAATCTTACAAATGGTGCACGCTTGAGCGTAAATTATGAAAGCCAAACCGGCAGTCAGAAATAAAATAACGCATTGGATCTTCATCTTTCTTTATAATTAGCTTTACAAAGACACTTAATTTTGCAAAATAAGATAAGGTGTAGGTTCAATTTAACCCTAAAAAATAATCTAACATTTATTAATACTATCCAAATTTTCAACTTCAAAACCTTCCAGATCGAATATTTGATTAAATGAAGTCGGTTATTATGAGTTTATTGCAATAGATATTTATATAATTTATAAATCTATCCTAAATTTAATTTATATACCTCGATGTAATTATACATCTTCTCCATGATAAGCTGAATAGTATTGGCACGTCAACTTATGATGGTGATTACCATATTTGCGAATCTGATCATATGCAGCCAAACAACTATGTACAATAAAAAGATAAATATTTCAAAGAAAAACCAAATTTGAAAGATTTATATATAACTCACAGCCAGCAAAATTCATAACCACAATAACACCTCATATGGTCGCATCCTTTGTTCTTTTCGATCGCCATTTTGCATTCTGGACATTTTTTAGTCCACCGATCGTGGTAAGCTTGGTTGGCAGCTGTTTGTACAGTTTCGATCTTTTCGGCGAATTCAGCGCAAGTATGATTTTCGTGCCATGGAACGTCATGAGTAAAGCACGATTTTGAGCGACACGCATTGCAAGTCATAATTGGTTCGTCGTCTAAAAAAAGAGAAATTAGAATAATAATAAAGTATTTAAGGACATACATCTACATAGTAAGCAAATATGTAACCGCCAGTCGTATGCTCTTGTCCTGAACCACATTCGGGATTTTTACACCAACGAAAATTCTCCAATTTGCGAATGGAGTGACGGAGTAGAAGAGAGTCATATCTAATCTCAATTAAAATAGCATGAATTTATGTTATTAATAAAAAATTATTGATTTTTGAATTTGAAAAGAATCTAAATAATACCGTTCGAAAATCTCATTAGAAGCAAGCCGCTTAACATCTTGATACGTCAATTGAGCGTCACACTTATGTCTAGGGCACAGAATTTCAATTGTGGCTTTATTTTTTAATTCAGCTTCGATATAATTACATATGCACGAATTACATGCGTCTTTGTGGCCGCAAGTATCCGATATTTTCTTAAAAACGCCGCGATTAAAACAGATAGTGCAAGATTGCATAGATAAAAATATTTTATGCATAGAGAAAAAAAAATGAATATATAGTTGTATTTGGGTGGACTTGCTATTTTATACTTTTTAATGTAAAAAAAGTTTAATATAAAATACTTTGAAATCTGTTTTTTATCCATAACGATAATGACAGATTTGCATATATCGATATCGTTAGTTATTTGATTAATCGTTGATTTAAATGATTGAAAGACCTTTGTTTCTGCGGATATTATATTTTAGGGTTATTACCAATATTTCCTTTGTTATGTATTTAGTATTAACATGTCTTTATTCAAAAACTACAATGATTTCTTACAAGTTCAGGAGCTTTAATTTATTGTTAAATTAATAAAGTTTAATAGATATTTGAATTATATACTAACTGATACATATATATTAAGCTATTGAATTGTAATTTTCTTTGGAGTAGCACTCTCCGTTTTCGGAATCTTCACTTCCAATATTCCATGATCAAATTTCGCAACTATCTCATCGGACTTAACATGTGATGGCAAACGAACACTACGCGAATAACTGCCGTAGCGACGTTCTTGGATATGCGCATTGCCTTCTTTGTATTTTTGATCTTGTTTTGTTTCACCAGAGATGTGGAGTACGTTATCGCGTACATCAACGTTTACGTTTTCTTTTGGAACACCCTATTTAGTAGTTAGAGATTTAGTATATGACGGATAAAAATTTATAAGACACATTAATTATTGATGTATACGAAAACTTACAGCTAACTCGGCATTCACTACAAACTCTTTGTCCGTTTCGTAGACATCAAGAGCTGGAGCCCAAGAAGTACCGTTATTCGCGCTACGATTACCAGTACGAACACTTCCGCCGCGTTTTGCTGTATTCAGGTCAGTAAAGAAATTTGTAAATACATTGGCGATTTGGTTTTCGAATTGTCGAAGTTCAGGATCGTGATAAAATAATGCCATTTTTATTGCTTGCTACAAGCTGTGTTAGTATTAAGAGAAGATAACGTTTTTGTTTGATAGTTGTTATTTTTTATTGACGAACAAATAGCTCAAGTATTTATAGAAAAATTTGATCATTTACATGAAAATTCATGAGAAATTGCATCATTGTACATGTAAAGCGCTACATAACTTTTACTTTGAGTGGGGTGATCTTTAAATTCCCCGATTGGTCGAGAGATTTTATATACATGTGCGAGTACATACGTACATGAATGTTCTAGAAAATTTATGCTGGTTTATCCCAAAGCGAGACGAGGATTATTTTTCATAGAATTCTTTGACTAAGCATTGACCTTGTCGGTCTGCTCGTGGTGTCCGATAAAAAGATGATTATTATTATTTCAGACATTTCCCGACTTGGATAGCCGTAGAAATCGGATACCCATTTCTTTTAGATGGATGAGGTTATGTTTAACAGAGTTTTTAAGAAGGATAATAGTTACCTTTGGATAAATTTTTATGCCGCTGTAGAAGAGATAATATTTTTATTTCGTTCGGAAAACATCCATATTCAAGTAGATGTATGTTATGGTTAATCGCGTTTATGTTGAAACATAATGATAACACATGGGCTTTCCACAGTCACAATTTAGATAAACAAATCACCTTTTATAAAAATAGTTATTTGAGAGATCGTAATCGTAATATCACCATCGACTCTAGAATTTAGCCGGTTTACGTAATTGTTTATAAAACTGGTTTTAAATCAGTTTTAGATATTAACTGATGATCAACATATTTTGACGACATCATTCTCTACTTATTGGCAAAGTATTGAAATAAAAAGTTCCCACCTAAAAATAAACCCAAACATTTCGACGAAAATTCTCACATAATCTAAATATTATGTCACGACAAATTCGATTGGATAACGATCTTAAAATCCACAATTTCATTACTGTTACGTTGCGACAAATTCGATTGGTTGACAAAATTGTTAAGCAATAGGTTTTGTGACTTTTGTATCTGTACAGTATCCTTATGGTATATCCTAACCAACCAGTTTCTGACGAGGTTTTGGTTAGGTGAGTAAGGTTGTTCAACCAACTTTATACTTGTACAGGTGTCAGAAAAAACAGCCGACGGGCTTCTGACCTTGCAGGTTTACATACCTCCCACTTCTTCCAATCAATGGAGCCGTAGGTCATCGTTCTGTAATCACTCCCCGAAAGTGAACCTAATTACGAGTCACTATATGTACTCCGTTAGCTTTGTAAACAGTTCTTGATCCTATCCTAACTACTATGATTCGCTCTAGTACTAGTGGCCAACTAGTTTTGGCGAAGCGACCGAAAGATCTAGTATTGGGCCAAAAAACTTAGCGCATAATTCGTGGGGGAGGGGGAGATTGCATAATTTGATCCATGATTAAATTAATTGTTAGCATTAGTCTTCGGTTCATTTATATTCTTTCATTCCCGGTTGTAATATTAACTTCGAGTTTTATATTGTTGTTAACAACATATCAAAAACATATAAAAAACATCTCGTTTATTGTATTAAGAGAAAAACAAATAAGAAATAAATTCCAACTTACATGGACTTTCCATTTCTTGGTAGTTCTATAATAATACAAAAAAAACAATTGTGATATCGATACGATATGTAAAAGAACATGGATTGTCATTAAAAGAAAATTTAATTATCAATGTCGCGATTTGCAAATGATTTTTGAGATCAACTCTAAATTAATATTATATATTTTCAACTGATTGTTGAAAACAACTAGCTTCAAGGCAACTTGCTTAGGTAAAGTTTGGGCTCGTCTGATTAGAGTTATCGTCGTCTATCGGCATCTTAGATATTGTTATAAACAGCTTGGGTTTAAAGAATAGTTGATAGTACATATGTCTGTATTGGGGAATGCTTTATTACTGTGTTGAATTTAACTTATTTATATATAAATAGATTAAACATGTTAACGACAGACAAATAGCCTATAGAATGACTGTGATTATGTATTTTTTTGCATATAGAGTGAGGTCGTCATTGCGAACGTGCATTAGTCATTTACAATGTATATAAATTAATGTTTACTTTACCAGTCAGTTTCATTTAATAACAAGCGTGATATTGGAAAATTTTCATCATGAAGTTGCAGTTGTTCTTGATAGAAACTCATTAATTTCATCTAAATCTGTTTTGCAATCCAAAAGAAATGAATTACGTAATGAAGTCAACAAAACAGTAAAGCGAGCAATTTTACCTTCGTTTTGGACAAACAAACCGACACTTGTCAACCCAACCCTAAACATTCGATTTATATTAAATAGAAAACAAATACCTGTGTTAAAAATTAAGTTTATAGTAAAGGCTCGACTGGTGTAAACTGCATTTGGATGTATTTCTTGTTTTTTGTTCGTATTTGTAGGAACTCTTTTCATCTCTTCGTCAAGTTCTTTCCATTTTCTGCTTTTCTAGTTTAAGACACTCCTTAATTTCTTCATGCGTTTTAGGATATTCAAAAGAACTGAAGTACTGTAAATGCAAAGCATTCAGTTTCCTCCCCAATTTAATGAACTCGTCAGTTTTCTGGAATAGGATCCCAACATCTAGTTTTTGTTAAAAACTTAGAAATAGCATATAATCTTTTAAAACTCGTCGTTAATGAGAAAAAGCTTACGCTATGTTTGGATGTTCTTTCGGGCATCTTTCCCAAACTCTTGTGAGATACCTGTATAAAATAAACACATAAATAAAATATACGCATATAATCAAGTCGTGGTATAGCGATAGCTAGTAAATTTTACCTTCATTTGGAACATACAAACTGACTCAGCATCGACATTAATATCAATATCAAACTCAGTAGTTGGATATTCTATGCAAACAACTATTTTCAATATACGTATAAACTTATATTTAATAAAAATAATACATGTATTAAATAATAATTTTACCTTCTGGAACATACAAACTGACACTTGTATAACCTAAATATCCAAAATAATTTTTAATTCACATGAACATCAATGTGGTTATATGTATTAGAAATAAAAAAAGGTACCTGCGTCATTCGGAATTGAAATTAATTTTGGAGTAAAGATTCGACTGGTATAAACTGCATTTGGGTGTTTTTTGTTCGTATTTGTAAGAATGCTTTTTTGTGATTTCATCTTCTCATCAAGTTCTTTCCATTTTTCTCTTTCTGATTCAAGATATTCAATAATTTTTTCCTCCTCTGATTCAAGATATTCAATAATTTTTTTATCCTCTGCAGAGCTGTAGTACTGAAAATGCAAAGTATTTTGTTTATTCTTCTTATTCCCCTTGACATAGAGAATAGATTCGATAAAGTCATTAATGTCCTTAGCAGTCGGTCGGTTTTCTGGAATAGGATCGCAACATTTTTCAATAGTAAATTTGCACCATCCGGGAACATTGTCTGGTATTTTAGGTCGTACTCCATTATGGATGTCAACTACAAGATATATATCATGACTCCGCTCACCGAATGGTCTTTCGCCTGTTACAATTTCGTACATAATCATCCCAAAGCTATAAACAT